CCCGCCGAGGCAGTGGCGGGCGCGGCCGGCGGCGTGGCCTCGGCCTCAACCTTGATGGCTCCCGCCAAATTGAGCTTGGGCTTTGGCACGCGCGAACGCGGTGCGCGGGGCTGCGCGGCGCAGGGGCAGCGGCGGCGCAGGGGCGGTGGACGAGACGAGCGCGTGAGCGCGATATGAGGCAGCGCCCCAGTGACCCGCAAGACCATATGAGAGAAGGGCAAAGCAACCACGTCGATCCAAGCACGCGCCTCCGACCCAGCACGCTGTGGAGCCTGGCGCTGCCGCTTTCCCAAAAGGCATGTGCCGGGCCAGCGTGAGCGCCCACCTTTTTGACGCCCCCCGGGGCCGCGGCGGCGGCGGCCGCCGCCGCCTGGCGCTTGTTCTCCGCCGCGAGCTTGCGCAGCGCCTGCTGCTCCGCCGACGCGGAGCGCTGGCGCGACGCCAGCATCTGCGGAGCCGGGGAGAAGCGGAGCAGAGGCTAGCCGCGTCGTGGGCGCGCGGGGAGACATGAGCGCAAGCCGCGCAGCGCTTCGGCGCGCGGTGGCGGGCCAAGGCCGCATTGTCGATCTTGGCCCGGTGCTCTCCCTCCACAGGGCGGCCCTCCCTGTCCGCGGCGCGGGCGGCGCCCAAGCGCTTGCCTGCTGGCGGGCCTTCTGGCCCTCTGACAGCAGCTTCTGCTTGAGCTTGCTGCGGGCGGCGCTCTGGCGGTTCGCCAGGATGCGCTGGGCCCTGCGGTGGCGCGGTGTGTTGACGTCGGTGGGAGGCGTTAGGAGAGGAGGCGTCCGCGACTTGGATAATGCAGGTACGCCCACCCGGGCGTGGGTGGGTGGGAATGAGGACAAGGAAACGCAGCATGCACGTGTGCAGACCAGCATTGCAAAACACCCAAGCATTGCACGTGCGCGTGCACACACACACACACACACGCGCGCGCGCGCGCCCGCACGTAAGCAAGTGCGCATGAGTGCACCCACACCCGAACATGCTTGCTCCCCCCCCCCCAAAACAAACACACGCTTGCACATCCATGCAAGCCACAATCCCACAAGCACCTCTTAGGGTCCACATTGGGGTCGAGGCGCGGGTCCCCTGCCGGCTGTCGGCCGCCCTTGCCGCGCCGCACAGTGGACTTGGCGATGACAATGGGCAGCAGCGTGGCCGGCAGGTCCGACAGGAGGGAGTTGGCGGTGGCTATAGTGTTCGCCGGCAGGGCCTGCAGCTTCTCGGCGGCTGCTCGGGCGGGGGGCGGGAGGGGGGGGGCGCATGGTGTTGTCAGCCGTTGACGCATGCAATCGCTGCGTCGAGGCGGGTGCATGCACGCATGCATGCATGCGTGCGTGCATGTATAAAGCCTGCATGCATGAGGGATGTTGAGGCCCAACGTTTGACCAGCGCGTGCGCGCACCTTGCGCCACCTCGCACTCGTCTGCGTAGCCGCTCTTCACAATGTCGTCGGACGCGAGCACGACGCCCCGCAGCGCCGCCGACGCGGCGCCGCCGCCCCCGCCCCTC